ACTTCCTGTGAGATCATGAGCCTAGCACCAAGCACTTCCTGTGAGATCATGAGCCTAGCACCAAGCACTTCCTGTGACATCATGAGCCTAGTACCAAGCACTTCCTGTGAGATCATGAGCCTAGCTGCACAAAAAATTAGAGTAACATGGAGCCTGGTGATTCCTGATTTAGCATGTTTTGGAAATCTGAGTTAACCCACATTCTGGGTTTGCATGATACACTGAGTGATAAGTTTGACTCCTAGCCCAATGGGCTGGCTTTTAACAATATACTAAGATACAAGGCTCATTCTAGCCACTAAACATACCCTGATGTGTATAAATGTACCACTAGGTTCTCCTCTGACTCTCTAAAGCAGTGTTTCTCAACCTTGTCAACTTGAAGATGTCTGGACTTCAACTCCCAGAATTCTCCAGCCAGCATTCTCTGGCTAGGGAATTCTGGGAGTTGAAGTCCAGACATCTTCAAGTTGACAAGATTGAGAAACACTGCTCTAAAGGGTGTTGGGCTTCCATGGAGCCTTGAAATGGGTTGGGCCCACTCATCCTTCTTGTCCTGTATTCTGCTTTTGCTACATACCCATATATTTCGGTGGGTTTTAGAACAGAACAGAATTCTTTATTGACCAAGTGTGATTGGACACATGAGGAATTTGTCTTGGTGTGTAAGCTCTCAGTGTACGTAAAAGAAAAGATACACTCGTCAAGAATCATACGGTACAACACTTCATGGTAGTCATAGGATACAAATAAGCAATCAAATCATATTAGGAAACCATCAATATAAATCCTAAGGATACAAGCAACAAAGTTACAGTCATACAGTCATAAGTAGGAGGAGATGGGTGATAGAAACGATGGGAAGGTTAACAGTAGCGCAGACTTAGTAAATAGTTTGACAGTATTGTGGGAATTATTTGTTTAGCAGAGTGATGGCATTCGGGGAAAAACTGTCCCTGTATCTAGTTGTTCTGATGGGCAATGCTCTATAGAGTCATTTTTAGGGTAGGAGTTGAACCAATTTATGTCCAGGAATGCGAGGGGTCTGTAGATATTTTCACAGCCCTCTTTTTGACTGGTGCAGCGTACAGGTCCTCAATGGAAGGCAAGTTAGTAGCCGTTGTTCTTTCTGCAGTTCTGATTCTCCTCTGAAGTCTGTCTTGTTGGTTTTCAGGAGCTATGAAAACTTCATAAAACAGCAAGACTTTTGCTCCTTTTTTCCCCCCTTCCTCTAGCCTTGCTTAGCTTCTTGAGATCCCCAACATGCTACTTCCAGCTGTCTAAGCAGATCAGGCGTAGTAGGGTTGGTAAACATGTTGGCTCAAAGCTCAAAAAGAATAGCCAGCAATAACTTTTTAGTGAAACTGAACTCTCCTCAAAGGCCCAAGAAGAGATTCGGGCCCCTCTCTAGCAATTCTTTAAGGAGTCTAGGGCCTGGCCTTATAATATAAGACTGAGCTATCCAAACCATTTCATCTGCTAATTTTTCCTGCAGTGGAAAGGACACCATTAACCAACTTTACATCTCTGCAACACCAGAAGACCTTAGAGAGGTAGGGTTTTTTTTTATTGTTGTTAGTTTCCAGGAATTTGGAAAATAGTTTTGGTAGAACACACAAGTTTTCTAGCTCTGTTCGTGCTGAACCAGTTCTTTGTTCTTCATGTTTATCTTGGCTGTTCCTTCCTTCCTTTCTTGTTTTTGATACTGTTTGCTTGTTAAAGGCTATGTTTTCTTCTGATTCTCCAAACAGAACATATGTGACAAGAATGGGATTGAAGAGAGATGAACGTAATGTTGAATAAAAGATACTAAGAAGAGAAAGGAGACTTGGCAACACTTTGAGTGTTATCTGGATATATATATATATATATAAGCTCCAACTCTGTCTATGTGGCTTTTAATATAGAAGTAAGCGGGCTCTAAGAGGCTGTCCAGCCTGACCCAGTAGGTTTCACACTTAATGTCCAAATCTCACTTTACGTCTGCTTTAACCTGACACCAGATAATTTATCTGACACGTTTACATGTATTGTTATCTCATGTAGGATTATACCCAATATAAAATGCACTGGGAAAAAAATTTATACTCTCTTTTGCAGCTCCAACAGCACAACTTTCTAATGGATTCCCAACGTTCTTGTGATTTGTTAGTGAAAGGCATTCAGTCCATCGATGTCACGGGAGATTTCAATCCATGTGAGCTTTTGCTCAGAGGAGACCGGGCCCGGCCGGTGCTTAGGGATTCAAAGGGGCAAGTCCTCATTGCTGCATCCCAGTATGGGAAAGGCCGGATGGTGGTCACGGGGCATGAAGCCATGTTAAAGCTTCCTCAGTTCTTGCCGTTCATTAAGAATGCTCTGGACTGGCTCAAACCTTCCCGAATGGCCCCCGTAGGAGTCCACAGAAGCCTGGATGCCCTCTTCGAGCTGCTCCTCAGTAGAGATATTAAAGTGCGTCCGAATGCAAGACTTGGGAATGTCCTTGGAGTGTTCTGCAGAGATGCCTATGGTGATGTGCAGGCGGATGATCTCGTGCGGTTTGTAAAAAGGGGTGGGGGTCTGCTCATTGGTGGCCAGGCCTCGGACTGGTCATCTCAACATGGGAAGGAGGAAGTCCTTGATCATTTCCCTGGAAATCTGGTGACCAATGTGGCTGGAGTGTATTTCACTGCCACTCTGGGAGAACATGGGATCTTCCCCGTCCCGGAAACAATATGGAGGGATCCTGTTATCACCCGGTAAGTCTAATACTACCTCTTTATCTGCCTTTATTTTTTTGTAATTAATTTTTTATTTTATCAATTTCATATATACATTCACAATTATATGATCTCATAACTGTGTATTAATAATATGTATTTATAACAATTTTTTCCCTACAGTTGACAATATACTTGAA